CATCATCTCCATTAACCACTTGTGAATGCAGCAGAAGCCATTTTTCTCTCGAATTAAGGCCTGATTTCAGTGTGCCAAAGATGAAAGTTTTAGTTTCTGTCATTTTGACCCTCAATTCATTTGGCGTTTTTTTATTTTTCGGTTGTTTCTCTTTGCTTGAAAAATCTTTGCACTCTTATAACTGCCAATATTATTCAAACATTGGTTATTTTCCAGTTTTACTTCCAATAATCTTTCTATTAATTATAGCTATTACGGATAACATTCATTTTGTCTCACTTAGCTTGTCTAATTTACAGTACCTAATTCTTTATCTTTTCCTCTGCTCCACAGCATATTCAACAGTTTATTAGCTATATGCAATCAATAAAAGACCGAGAAATCATTCATACTCCTATATTATCATTCAAAATATGTATTACTCAACAGTAACATTACTATGAGTACAACAACCATCATTATTATCTTTATCTTTATCTAAACAGAAATCTTCTCACTGATTGCAGTCTTCAAATTACATGTTTATGCAAATGTACAGCTTGAAAGAGAATTCGTTGTAAAAGGTTCTATCCAGAACTGTTACTAGGTAGAATGTAATGTTTATACAAACTAACCGTCTCAGTTAAATAAATGATACTTTTTAGTCGCTTCTGATAATTTCTTTATAGGGGAAAATCTGTGAGAAGAAATACTCTAAAATATTTCCAGTTCAAACTATACTCATATGGGATTTCATAAATTAATAAGATGATAATTATTGAACGATTAAAAAACAATTTATTTTGACGACGTAGATAAAATGTCAATGAATTAAAATTACGAAACTAATATTTCACTGTTGTGTAAACAAACATCAAGGATAAGTAGGAACAGTGACATATTGTGAAAATGGTACAAAGTTGTTACTAATGACTAGATCTTAGATCACGACTCAATGTCTTGCCTAACCCTCTTCAGAACAAGGTTAAATTCAGGAGATTAAAATATCGCCGGGTAACCAATAAAAACGAATCACAGATATGTGATTGAATAACTCTAATAATACTAATAATCAAACTGAGTGCTAGTAAGCATTACAAATTGAGAATATTTCTTTGTCCGCATACATTTTTTGAATAGCTCTTTGTTTCAAATATAAATGGAATGGTCTACTGTAATTTAAAAACCGTGACATGTTTGAATTGTACACTTTAATCACTCTGACTGCAGGTCTATTTGTCATGGTATTTATCATTAAAACTTGGAAAAGTAAGCAACATACATAACAAAACGAAATCTGAGCATAACAGAGCTATAAAAAGAGGAAGAATAAGTTTAAAGCCGATATTATTGGTTGTATGATATAAATATTACTATGCTAAGTTTAGCGTGAGTACAAACTGTAACTTTTTTTACCACTTCCCTAATTTGAAGTGAGTAAGTGAATCATTATAATTATTCAAATCACTGAGTGTTTTCTTTTGAAAAAACTGGAATTTTGGAAAACGTATTGCTTATGTGCAAGTAGTGTGCTAAGATGTTTAGTTTCACTGACTACTGTACACTTATATCCAAATCTCATTTTTAAGTTAATCTGCAAACTGTCTGATTTGTATTTTTAGTATAGTGGAATTAAACTTGAATTCTAGACACTCGTTTTCCTTTAGTATGATCCTGCAGAATGATGAATATAATCTTAGATATTAAAAACCAAAATTATTTGGAATATCAGACTTTAAAATTAGTTTCTAAGGTTACAATATATATTGAAGAACTGTAAATAACTGGATGTACATAATAACTCACTGACCAAATACGCTGAAGCTTTTGTCAGAAGGAATGGCTTTATAGACCTCAGGTTGTTAAAGATAACCGTGTTACAGTTCAAATTAAGTTCTACTTGTTCTGCATGAATTTTCAAGCCACTAATCTACTAAGATTACAAGCTTTTATGTATTGATTGGTCACGGGAGTGCAACCAAATTCATGTTGTCTAGTCCTGAGTGCAGATCGAATTCTGTCGATCATGTTTGCAATGTGGCAACCAAGCTAGGAAGCTACTACTAATGTGCACTGCGATGCTGAGCTTCCTAGCTTGGTTGCCACACTGCAAACATGATCGATAGAATTTAATCTGCACTCAGGACTAGATAACGTGAAATTGGTTGCACTCTCGTAACCAGTCAATACATGTAAGCCAGTCCTACAGGAGGTCAGTCGTAGCCGAATAGTTCAGTGGTAAAGTTGCTGACTACAACACTGGGTGACGCGGGTTCGGATCTTGGGCAGGACATCAGTTCCGTCAAGGTTGCAGATACGCCTTGCTGACGAGTGCCAAAGAGCACGAAACCTAGGTCCAGGGCTTCCTGCCGATTGCCTCCAACCAACTAACATTACAAGCTTTTACCTGAAAATACAACAGAAAATTGTGATTGGTTCAGTTGAAACTGTAAATGAAAACTGTTATAATTCCCTGCCGTATCAGATGTTTACTATTGATAAAGTTAGTTACGTGAGAAAGGGCTGTTGGCAGTATCAATGTACGGCAGCAAAATTTTCAAGTCACATGGATTGGATCATATTGTGAGCAATCAAGATGAATTATGCCAAGTCTTGTTTCTTTTTACTTGGCATCTCACCGATCCAACTAATCAGAAAAAACCTTTTTAATAAGTAGCATTATAATCATAAGAATATTCCAACAATCATTAATTGTTGTTCAGATAAATTCTTCTTTTCATATTCTGACAATTCAAAACTTCTCAAATAAAGAAATTAATGGGATTGTTTGGAAAGGGATACTAATATTGAATTTATCTTAAAAGAGTTTAATTAACCGTTAAACACTTCGAAAAGTGTTATCTCATTCTTCACTCTCTCTTTATTGTTAGGTTCTATGACACTGCTAACGTATTGCCCAAGTCAACTGACTATTCAGTCTCTTCCTGGGCTCTATTTAAACAAACAATCATCTTTATAAATAAAATACCAAAATATATTAAAGCTTACACAGGCCTGATGAGTGACACTTACTCATAAGTTCACAAACGACTTTCAAAAAGGTTTACAAACTCACCTTTTGCCAAAGGTTAAACACTTTGTCAACAAAATATTTAACCAAAAGTCATTATGCAAATAAAGTTAATTAATCTTATTGTCTTATTCATTGGGATTTCGTCGACCACAATATCACATAATTCAAATACGCAAAAGAAACTTCTATATTATTTCAATGAAATGAATACCAACTATTTATTTGGTTGTGATTAATTTTTATTTTAATTCATTCAGTTTCGATTTCCGTGCCTTATTCAATATTCACATGTTATGTTTGCGATTTCTGTCTTTAAACTGACTAGTGATTTTTATAATTTCCAATTCATTTTTCAATTATGTAACCGAAAAGAAATAAAATTATGGGTCATATTGCTTTCATATGACCAGTAAATTGTTTTAAATTATTCCTACTCTTGAGTATATGAGACAATATATGAATTAAAATATTTATACTTTCAGTGTTGGGGTCGTTGTATTTAACATAAATGACTTTGCTGCATACCAGAATTAACTTCATTGCTTCAGTTAGCATTCTGCTTCTACTTTATGTTGATATTCCCATGATGATTTCTTATAGAAATCAAAATATTTAAACAGATGTGGCAAGGTTTTTGAAGATAATGTGAAATAACTTCATTTACGTGTCTGTGTTTAATCCATAGGTTCAAATAAATGTTTCCTACCGAACACAATGACATATGTGTATCGGTTTACGTTTAACTGAGATAGTCACATTAGTAGTAGATCTTGCAGTCAGACAAGTAACGTTTTGTTGCTTTTTTGTCAAAATGACATTCTACGATAACGATTATTTTTGTCCCTACATGTGGAGATTAATTGTTTTTCTACGTTTTGTCAAGCATTTGTCTCTGTCACCGTCTATTTACTGAACTTACATTAGAAAAAAAAGAGAATAGTAACTTATTTCATGGCCACATTTTTAACAACATGCTGGGTTATTTTGCATTGTGGCAGCGGTTAATTATGAGCATTAATAATATTATGTAAGTAGTCTTCTTCGTTTCCAGAACAATGTTCATTCATAGTCTTCATGAAGTTTGTTCAATAAAGTTTTTTTCACCTAAACAACGATACCATCCTTTCATGTACAAGTAGCAACAACCATTTCCTGTATTTTAGTTTATCCAGTGTTATACCATCTTTTGACCTGACAGTCCTCTACTAAGGTTCGCTTGAATTTGTACGTAACACGATATTTGAAACTTTAGTTAAATGTTCAAAGGAGTATTCATTTTACTGACTGGCAAACGAACACAGAACGTACATTTTGTCCTATTTGGGGATCCTGAGCTGGATATACCTACACCTCAGGGAGTATTGTTCCCCCTGAAACTCGAACTCAGCAACCATCACTTCAAACGCCAAAACATTACCCACTAGGCCACTGTAATGACTGTTCATCAAGTATTTTTTGTGATGCAAACGAATTTCATAAAATTCTAAAGCTAGATAACGATCCGTTAGATGAATCATTTGGAGGATATGAACTACTGACCTCCATCCCAGTACTGTAAGTGAATCTTAGGTTCAAAGACTATAGCTTCATCTTATATCGAGACACGTGTATATATATATATATACTGGCTGATGATCGAAGGTTAAATGAAAATTTGGACCGTGGCCAAATTTGAACAAGTGACTACCGGGCGTGCTTCAAATTTTCATTTTACCTTCAATCATCACCCAGTATAAATACTTGTCTGCCAAACTACGGCTATCTCCAATAGTCAAATGATAACGTATATATGTCTCTAAGATGTCCTATAGTGCGCAAAATATTGTTTAGTGACTTTCGATACTTCTCGTTCTATTTGTTATATCAATCTATGTTGGAAACTGTACTAAACAATAAACTAGTCACATAAAATGCAGAAATTGAAAAATTATGTTTAGTAAATGATGTATTCATTCTAATTATTTTCTAATTCTTTTACACTTTAAAGGATTTAACTCAAAGACCACCACATTTATCGTCTCCAGCACATATGTGAGTTTGTGAACGAAGGAATACAGAAATTAGCAGAGTACATCACAAAGTGTTGAACAATCACCTCAATTGATACAACTAATGTTGCATCACTTTTATCCTGATTGACCTCATTTTTACTCTAATTTTGATTATTATTAAATTTGACAGTGATGTAACAATGAATCTTTTGTTTCAAATAGTTGAATGGTTGGATGAATACATTTTTAGAAACTTACAACAATTCTTTTGTGGTTTTGGTTCGATAATTCTTATGAAACTGCGGAAGGAAGTAGAAATTAGTTTCGAATCATTTTAGTGTAGATTTATCGATAACATTTGACAGTAAAAGAATAGGTTAGACCTAATGTAGTGATTTGTTGGTTTCTGTTTCCTGTTAGATTCTCCTGACTTTCTGAGTCAGTCTGCTGTAATTACCTTGCGTATCTAGAAATTATGCAACAATGCAAACTTTATCCGGCAATGCTCAGCGTAACTGATGAAAACGAGTATTCAGTCCATGGATTTATGCGTTTCACAACGACCGTATATCTAAATTAGTACTCATTTGAAAAGACTGATTGATTAGTAGTTGCTAAATATACAAGAGAAATTTATCTCGATTTGTACACTCCCATGTCATCTTTAAATCTTGCTTTTTATACAAACAAATATTTCTCCAACATTTAATCAAATAAAGATTCCATTTATAGCACCATACTTCAATGAAGATATGTTCCATCTTTACAGAATTGCCTAAAGTACTTCAGTTTTCACAGTTACGAATGAACCACAAAAAAATAATTTATCTGAACTGCTTCTTTCATAATACTATTTAAGTGTATGTTGGAATTAGCTCACCTTACAAGTAAACAAAAAATGTAGCTTTTCAATTTCGCATAACTTTGCTAACAATTTTTACATCAGATGTATGCTTGGCAACCTGGACACTATTTACCTAGGCATATTTACAAACTAGACTGAAGTCAAAGCAAGGATATCCACATTAACCACTTACCATAGATGTGTAGAGTCACAGCTACTCTGTAAAGTCTGCAGATTTGTGTCAAAGATAAGAAAGTACACAGGTTATTCGACAGACTATTTCAATATAATAACTTATGAAATAACTATTTTGGTAGTATCAGCAGAAGTGCTGTCGTTACTGCAACCTGAGATTGAAAATCGGAAACATGACTGCAATATCAAAGTATTTGAATACAATGTCTTGGTTTCAGACAAGTGAATTTTTATGATACCAGTGAAGCTAATATCCTCGTAGTGACCCCAGTGAATTCTTTGCTGTATGTAGTTGTTGAGTGGCTGATTCCACCAATTTCCATCAGTTCACACTTTTGTTTCGGTGCTTACTCGCGGTAAAGCGTCAGATGTTATTTTCAGATCATAAATTTACACTTGGCAAGAGAAATCTGGAGATATAAGCCATATTCTTCTTCTTGTTCTTCACGTACTGACTAAGTAATAGATGGTTTAATCGTTCATGGTGTGATCTTGTACAGAATCACTTCATTCGGAGTTTATTTAACTGATCAACATCCACGACTTAACAGAAGACCACATGTCCACAAACCGAATGTACCTTTTCTTCTAATCGTTACGCTTTCAGTACCATCAACGCAGAACTTGTCAAAGTACCTACAGGAAAACCCAGTTACTTTATCAACCAATTCAACAAATCATTTTCTGGAAGAAATTAGAGATATCTTATTATGTCAAGACAAAAAAATGATCTTTGATTTAAGATTCATTGTAAAATCCATAAGTCACAAGTCTGTAAGTTAAACTATTCTAAAATTACTTCAAAACGATCACAGTCCTTGTGCTCATAAAAGTGTTAAAATACTGGGATCATTGGCTCTTACGGATCTTTGCGTATCCATGTACATTCATTTTGAGGAAGAAATTTATGAATAATTGAAAACAACTTCAGTGGGATCATAAAGATATCTAGGATCATTGTAGAAGCGATAATGCAACTACTGGGGTCGATAATCCTGCCAACTATCAAACAAAAAATGTGAGTGCGTCAATCAATAGACACATTCCTTATCTTTAATAAAAATGGCATTAAATTAACTGAGAAACTCACTTAAGAAACTAATTCGAAGGAATCAATTTCCCGAAATTCGAAGACAAAAATAGACAACTCACATTCTTTGTATCTGGTTTACAAAACCTAAAGATATACAGCTTGAAATTAGAGTATTCAAGAAAACAACTTATGTAAATCAGATCCTAAGTTTCAGTACAAAAAATATGATGTCACACAAAGAAACTGTTTAGTAACTATATTCCGATCAGCAGGTACATACTGCCGTACAATAGACTCAAGACGTTTTGAGAAAAGAGGTGACCTTCGAAATCTTCCGACGCAATGGGTGTCTAAAAACGATAAGCAAAAGATATGTTTTGATTCGAATAAAGTATACTGCATAAAGTGACACAAGAATGGTTTCCTCACAAATCACCAGAATTTGAAATATAGCAGCTAGAATAATGCCTCTATTTCTTACCCATCTTATGCAAACTGAAGGACCCAGACAAAAAAGGAGAGAGACTAGTGCGATTTCTGAAGGCGGTTGACATAACTGTGGACGCTGATAGGTAAAAACACATGTGTCAGCCTTGCTTGTATTGTGTCCTGCGAGCTAGGTTGATTAATTGTGAAGCTTTCATCGTCTTTCTGGATGACATCATCAGCACTAACTTCAGTATGAAGTGAGCTGTCAATATTTCTCCTTGAGTGGTTTAGTAACTTGCCTTGAAGAAGAGGTCTGTGATTAGTTGTTCCCTTTGATTGTTATGTCATTGACTATATACATTTTCGTGCTGGCTGTCCCTCTGCCTGACCTCTGACCTTTCCGTCGTTTATCGTTTCATCTGTTCGCATATCTTGCCGTTGACTTGGAGGCCACTAGGAATTGTTGTGGCTCATAAATCAACAAATTCCCTCCAAACACTATTATGCAGACCAAAGGATGGAACAATTAAAGAAGACAAGCCGAATATCATTTACAAAATCAACTGCAACAACTGTAGTCAACACTACATTGGACAAAATGGTCGCCTTTTTCGCTCTCATCTTCATGAACAACAGATGGCTATTAAACGTCGTGATATCTCATCACTCATTTCAATGCCTGTGGATAACAACTATGGACATGAGTTCAATTTTGACAATGTAGAAATTTTGGACGAAAAGAGGAGACACAAAGTACATTAGGGAATTTCTAGAAACTTGGTATTCAGACGAGTCAGCAATCAATAGATGTATAGACATAGACCCAATCTATCAATCAATAAAAAAATGATAAACAATAGAAAGGTTAGAGGTCAGGCAGAGGGACAGCCAGCACGAAAATGTATATAGTCAATGACATAACAATCAAAGGGAACAACTAATCACAGACCTCTTCTTCAAGGCAAGTTACTAAACCACTCAAGGAGAAATATTGACAGCTCACTTCATACTGAAGTTAGTGCTGATGATGTCATCCAGAAAGACGATGAAAGCTTCACGATTAAACAAGCCAGCTCGCAGGACACAATGCAACCAAGACCATCCACCTGAGCTACAAATATTCTCCACTATTTCAAGATGGATCAGTATCCCAACACCCATATGCAACTGATTGCTTTGCTTCACTGTGAAAATTTGATGTGGTTAACACAGTGTCTTACTTGACACTAGAACGTTTAGCAGTTGAAACTGCAGCTCAGAAGACAACTCACTTTGAACTTCCACTCTGACGGCAATAAATATTCTTCACAACTTCCTTTGTAATTACTCTTTATATAACTACACCTTCTGAATATTGTTTACACAGCAGTAGGTTGATTTCATTCTACATTTAGTCCATTTAGTGGGACAGTTGCAATATTTAATTTTAAAATGGCTTGAAATTAACTGAGCATGATGAGATATTTATAACTTTTTTCTTCCAAATGAACTAGCCTTTCCTTGTCTTTTTACATGCTTCAGAAAGAAAATTTGTCACTCTTACTATCATACTGATGGCTAGTTTAGTGTATAACCGTTTTCACTTGTATTGGGAAATCCTAATAATTCCATTAAGAGATTTGTAACCATTCCACTTGATTAGACACAGAAATGAGCTACAATTATCTGAACTACTACAAGGCCTCTTTATCTTCATTTTACCTGTAATCATTTCTATATCAAGTATGTTTGTTGTAATTAACTTTCAAAGCCAACATGAATAATATGCAAATATCCTAATTCAGAAATCTGATACATAAATCTTCAACATTAGGGGCTATTCTGAAATTTTCTTGAAAATAGTGAAATAGATTAAAATGAAAATGCATTCCACTAGGCAGTATGAAACTCTAAATCATGTTCATTCTAGACCTCACTGCAAGCTATTTTCAGTATTTGATATGTATACATGTATACAGATTTTTCAACTTCAGTGTGAAGCAACAGAAATTAAGGTCTGATAGGTTATTCAGTAACAGTAAAATCTCGTTTCTATTCAAGACTGGTGATTTAAACATCAAAGCTATTCATGTAACATAAGAATACTTCATGTTTTAAGGATCTAAGTCCTCATAGCGTTGACTGATTTGATGGTTGTGTCATCCTAATCCCGTTAGTGGGCTTTCTCAAATGACAAAAGTGGCCATAGGATAGACAACCACAGTCTAACTAGAGACCATTGGTGCACGATATAAATAATTTATAAGTACTCACATCAGTCACTAATTTATACACTTTAAGTATTGACAGCTCACTGCTTGCCAGTGAAGTCAAAAAATCTTCAATCTTAATGAGTTAAAAGTGGTTTATAGTAAAACGGGCATATCTATATACTCTTAGTTTTGAGAGTTTCAATGTATTAAGTCAAGTTTTCAGTTAACCGACTTAATCACCAACAAATATCGATGAGGCTGGAGTGTTTTATCAACTTGTTTGTATGAAAAGTTAAAAATAAACAATTCATTGAATAAAATTATTTTCGATGGATTAATTTTAAAAGTTGT